CTGTTTTATTGGATTTTGGGTTCTTTTACTTCAAAGACACTATGTTGAGGTTTAGGGGAGGGGGGAGCACTGAGTGGAGAGAGGCACTCTTCACATTGAAATGTGCAGTTTGGGAAGAATCAGCTAATACTTCTTTTGCACAAAATGTATCATATACCATCCCATCTTATTTTAGTTTTGGGAGGGGGGCTTTTATTTAAGAGATTTAAAATCACTGTTCAATGTTCTGTACAGTTTAAGTGATTTTGTCCCCCTTCTATTTAAATTAAAGGTTTTTGTCTTCATTTGCAAAACTGAGTGACTTAATTATCCTTCTCTTTGTCCTGTTGCTGTTTATTTATCCAAAGAATCTTGACGCTTTGCCTTCATTTGTACTTATCTTTTTTTAACCTTGACATTTTTAGACGCCCTACTGTACCGCTACACTGTTTACAGTGCTCTGGAAGGAATAAGCCAGAAAGTCATAATACTGTGTGTTCACAGTAATTAACAGTATGTAGAACCACTTTGGCCGTATCTAGTCTAGATTAATCTAGTCCAACTTTGACAAGTTGTGTTTTTACAAATAGAATAAAGGTTTCACTCTGAAATATTTTAATCTGCTCCTGGAATTTGCTATTTTTATTTTACAAAAGAGAGATACAAGAATCACAAGGTAAACTATCTTGCACAAACTAATTAATAATTTGGCAAATTAAGAGATAAAGTTTCATGACTTTATGAAATTTAAAATCTTTCAAATCATGTACAAGATCAATAAATTGATAACAGGAAATGTAAATGAAGGTAGATGTATCGTGAGATAGGAAGGAAAGTTTAAGAGGATAAGTTGATTATAGCTTTATAATCGGGGTTGATGTTCATTATTTTAATTAACTGTGCTGTCTTAGTACCCATAGATAAGCTAATAAGCGGTGTGTTTTTGGTCCAATTATATAAATATAAGGTGTATATTAGGTATATGGGATGAGTATAGTGTTTTCTTTTTGAGCCAAATAAACTAAACTAAACTAAAAAATGGCCAGGGGATCTTGAGTGCCCTATTTTTATTATGCAGGTTTTACAGTCTCCCAATTTGGAGGAAAAGCTTGAAAGTATATCAGTAAGTATGTAAGGAAAAAAAAAACATTGCCTAGATGAAACCAAGAGTCCCAGAAGTCTTTTGATTAATACCTGTTGAGAGGTCAAACAAATGAGCGCTTCATCGGGGGTGCAGTGTACCGTATCTCACTGTAACACTCTTCTTTCCCCTCCCTCCACCTCCCATTCTGCCCCATACGACGGAGCCACAACATGAGTACTAACAGTGCCAGTAACACCAAGCTCATGGACAGGGTCAGAAGAACACCCTGCAGGATGCCTGAGGAAATGTCTGGAGCTGCAGGGAAAGACAAAACAGTTGTCATCAAAAGGGTTTGACACACTGAAAGAAAGTCATAGTCAATGTAGGCAGAGAAGGTGATGGGTGAACAGAAAGACACTCACTGCTGTAAATGGACAGGCTGAGGTAGCAGTTCTCAGTTCCCAGGGGGTTAGTGGCAGAGCAGCGGTACAGGCCAGACATTTGTGAAGACATGTTGACAATTTGGACAGAACCTGACATATCCCCTGAGACAGAGAGGAGAGTCAGTCACATTAATGACCCTTAACTAATGAGAGAGGAGTTTGAATATGAAGGAAATCACAAGTGAAGTAACACAATGAGTATTACTCATGCTTTGACAACAGATGTGTAATGTCTTCTGTGGTTCTGGAAGAGCTTTGTCAAGTTTAACCCTGATGAGGATTTGACCATTTTTCAAACCACCAGTAGTCACTTAAAACAGCCAGCCATGGAGGAGCTCACAGCAACAAAAGGTCTGCAAGAGTTAGTTGAATCTAATGCAAATGTGTTTGTTTTGGTAACATTAGCGGGGTTGGGAGGGTTACTTTAAAGCTGTTCCAATACAACTACAAATTACTTGTTTAAAAATCTATTTAGTAACTTATTTGATTACTTTGTTACTTTTGGATTACCTCAAGACATGAGAAAAGAAATATCAATAAGGTGGTTTTTAAGTGTATTCTGTAAGACAGAACAACGCAACCTTAATATCAAACATCCTCTGGTCAGTGTATCTTTTTTTTTTTAAAGAACAGCTTCTCATTAAGCACATTCAGGCAGTGAAGTGACCACCTATGGCCATGTAGTACAGTTTTCAAAGCAAAAATAAAATTACTCCTTTTATAAACAGGAAATACTTTTAGTTCAATACATTAAAAGCACACACTATTTTTTTTTTATTTGAGTCCACCTACTATTATATTCAGAGGTGTCTATATTTTTGTCCTCCCAAACTGAGAAGGTCAGAATATTAGGAACACCTCTGAATATAATGTAATCCAGTACAGTGGGTACAGAAAGTATTCAGACCCCCTTAAATTTTTCACTCTTTGTTATATTGCAGCCATATGCTAAAATCATTCAAGTTCAT